TTTCAAAAGTATTTATGCCGGATCGAATATCATGATTCTAGCGGAGATCCGAACACCGGATATTTCAAAATAAAATCAGCTCTGTGCCCATTTCTAAATCAATTTTTGTTTTTACCTCGGTTCTGCCTTTTAGGATTGGTTTTCCCATGAGAATCTCAGCAAAAACACATCCCACACTCCATAAATCTACTGATACTCCATAACTAGTGGATCCCATAAGAAGCTCAGGAGCTCGGTACCACAAAGTCACTACACGGCTCGTCAATTGATTTTTGTTCGTAGGTGTAACCACATTTGCTAGCCCAAAGTCTCCAAGCTTTAAAACTCCTTTGTTATTCACCAAAATATTGGAGGCCTTAATGTCTCTATGTATTACTCCTCGCATATGACAATGCTCAAGTCCCCAAAGTAGTTGCTTCATGTAACATTTGATCTTGTATGACATGAATCAAAAAGAAAGAAAGAATATCAAAAACTCTATCCAATGTCACAAAGAAATAGACACGAATTTCGCAGTTTGTACCTGTGGTTCGGTGAATCTGATGTCGGGATTAGAAGATAAACCGGCAAGGTCATGTTCCATATACTCAAAAACAAGGTAAATGCTGCTGGATGCTCGAGATGTAACTATACCCTCAAGTTTCATGATGTTTGGATGGTTGAGTTTCCGCAATATCAAAATCTCTCTTGCCATAAACCTAATGCTCTCTGGTTGAAGATTATCAAACTTTACCTTCTTCAATGCCACCATTTTCCCGGTTTCTACTTCTCGTGCTCGAAACACGCTACTATATGTTCCTTGTCCAATCTAACATCCAAATAAATTCATCAACACAAAAACAAAACAAAAAATATCCTTTCGTTTGTGTAACTTCCTTGACAAGAAACAATATGTTTACCTTCTCCAACTTCTGAAACGCCTCTGCCTTTAAAGGAACCCAACCATGGACAGCCTCAGCCGCAGCTGAACAAAGCCAAGCCGGCCAACCAGCAGCGGCTTGCTCAGCCTCTATATTCCTATGAGACAATCCAAGACTCACACCAATCCTCAAATCAGAACCGCCCAATCTCCTTGATTTCCTTGAACGCTTGCTATTGTGACTTGCCTCCAAAGAATGATCAATAAGAACTCGATGTTGCTGGCTCGTGGAGATCAAGCCAGGTTCGGGGACCGGTGACTCACCCTGGTCCGTTAAACATGAGACATTCTTGGAGCTGATGCAACCCATTTGTTATAGAAAAAAATTGTTTCCGGATTTGGAAACGGGTCTAATATGGGGGAATTAGCCCCACATTAGGCCAAAAGATTAAATGGGATTGCAGACAAAAGACACAAAGAAGACGATGATGAAAAAAAAGGAGGGAAAGAGTAAACCAAAAAAAAAGATCACATGACAAAATTATTAAAAGTAAAAGGAGACATTTTTTTTCTGTCTGTTGAATCTTCTTGTGAAAGAGAGGTAAGGGAAGCTGCAAAACACAACCGCAAAAACAGCAAGAGAGAGAATCATGGGACCAAAATTGGGTAATAATCTTTTTTTCTTGTGTTTGCAAAAAAGAGAGAGAGAAAGAAAAAGACATATTTAGCTTTGTCACCTGTCTAACAGAGAAATAGAGAAGACCTAACCGACAAGTTAAAAAGCTAAGAAACAATTAAGGTGGATTAGTTAGTTAATCTATCCCAAGTTGTTCAGATGTCATAACAAAATCATAGTTCTCACAAAGACCTAATAATATCTTCCATATATGTCACAACAAGAGCTCTCAAAAGGTATATATACTTACCAGGAGGTGGGGTTTAAAACTAAAGCTTATTAAAGTTGTACAATGATAATTGTTAGTCAGGTGCATTGCTTTAAAGGGTCTTCTTCTGTCAAAAGGATACTTTAATTTATACACACAAAGTAAATTTCACATAATATACCTTATAGGAGAAGAAACCATTTGATAGTTTATATCTATAAATCGATATCATGATTCACCACCCCACATAAACATTTCTGACAGTAGTACAAAAACATACTTGATTGAAACTATTTGCACTCATTGGTTGTAATGTCTTCTCACATAGTGGTTTGTTAAACCAAACATTGTTTATACTTTTCCGGCTTAATCTTGCTTTAACAACGTCTCTAATATTTCAGCAGTTAGATAACCTCAACAAATTCTCATATGGATCATATGCAACAAAGTCCCGTTACCACCAAATCTCTGAATTATAAAAAAACAAAAGCATAAACTCTCAACAACTATGAACAAAGAATAAAAAAAATAGTAGCACCTACTTGATTGATTAATCAACAAAATATACATAATCGAAGTTAGGGTATCTCATCAAACACGAAATGAACCAAATTATCTTTTGAATGTGTTACTTTACGCGGAATCCTTAGGCATCAAAGAAGTTCCATAGAGTTCAAGAAACTGGTTTGTGGAAAGCAAGCAAGTGAGCAATGATCAGAAACAAATGCTAGGAGCATCAGTGAGAACTTTTTTTTGGTAACATGCTAAATTTTAAACCATTTTTGAGATTCTTTACAGAATACGGAGATGCAACGAAGAGATACAGAAGACCGAAATCTACTAAATAAACAACAATACGAAATGGGGCCACACAACGAAAAGAGTAAGCTTTGACGGAAGAAGACATGAAAAAGCCATCGATCCGAGGCCAGCCCTCAATATCTCAAATCAAGTGGTGCTTAATTCCTAGCAAACTTCCAATTGGAGAGAAAGAGAGAACTTGGTTAAACAAGTTTTCCATTTTCTAGTTACACTACGTGCCGTTTCTTTGTCTATTTCTAAATTTTAGACAGCGTGTAGTTTTAGTAATATCAGTACAAACTACAAAGTGCGTGAAGTCAAGTTTTATTCTTGAACTAGGATCGGATCCGCGGTCCACCGCGGGAGAATATTGGTTTACATATGTTGCGTTTAATATTGTGTGTGTTTTTTAGTAGAACGAATCGTGTAGTATACTTATAAATATTCATAATAACGAATTGTAGAGAAAATGTAAAATTGTTTATAAATATACCTATCGTAATAATTATGATTTACAAAATAGAATTTTGTGTTTTAAAATTCTAAAATTAGACGATTCATGGGAATTAGAGCAGTCAAAATAGGTCAAAAACCGCGGGTCCAGTCCACATCATCTCACTATAGGGCAGATTTGGGAAAATATATTAAACCCGCAAATAAGCGGGCCACATGGATTAATTCGCAGTGGGTCATAGGTATAATCGGTTTTCATCCGCGGGTTGGCGGATCAGTCCGCATATTAGTATTTATTGATAAAATTATAATTTATTCAATATGTGGTAATAAACAAACTTTTAATAGTATTTTGATTTATTTATTTATTTTAGTAATATTTTAAATTTTGGTTACTTTAAAATTATTTAAACAAAATCCATGGACAATCTCGCAAATCCGCATATATTCGCGGGACGTGTTTGTATTTCATATATGCTACCCGCGGGTCGTGCGGACCGACTAACTACAAGTCAAAATATTTTTTGTCTATCGCAAAACGGACTTAACGGGATGAATCAACTCGCTTTGACAGTTCTAATGGGAATATTATTTAGTCATACAACAAAATGAAGTTTGGACATAGTAATAATAGAATATGTATCTTATTTGTTAGATGAGAGATTGAAAGATGAAGTATAATGATTAAAAATTAATTATTATTTTTCATGATTCACAAAATTTAATAAATACTTAACATCTTGTTGAATAATTCTAAAATCATATTCAAGAAATCTTTATAAATTGAAAATTAAACTTCTTTGGTAAGCTATAGGTATGAAAATATCATAATTTTGATTTAATCTAACTAAATTAAAATTAGTTACATGGATTTCAAATCTATTTAATTTACACGACCAAAATAAAAATATCTATTTAATTTACACGACCAAAATAAAAATATCAATTTAATTTATAAAACAGATGGGTTATTTGTGATAAATTTTCTAGAAATCTTTAAAAGCAAGTAAAATATCTTTCAATTAATGATAATTGGCTAAAATGAGCGAAATTAATGACAAAAACGTTGATTGTTATGGAATTAGTCCCAAAAATATATGAACAAATTTATTATACGTAATTTATGTTTTTTATTGTTTGGAATATGCTTTTATTATTAGTTACCATAAGTACAATCAGATTTTATTTGATTTCCATAAATATTTGATTTTATTTCGATTTTTCATTATTAATTCGAATTTATATTCCAAAAAAATTTCAAATATCCGATTTCAGAATTTCGGGTCAATTTTCTGATTTTAACCCGACCCATTTTCATTTGTACTTCTCTTTTAATAGTATAGAGATTCAAGAAATCTTTATAAATTGAAAATTAAACTTCTTTGGTAAGCTATAGGTATGAAAATATCATAATTTCGATTTAATCAAATTAAATTAAAATTAGTTACATGGATTTCATATCTATTTAATTTACACGACCAAAATAAAAATATCTATTTAATTTACACGACCAAAATAAAAATATCAATTTAATTTATAAAACAGATGGGTTATTTGTGATAAATTTTCTAGAAATCTTTAGAAGCAAGTAATATATCTTTTAATTAATGATAATTGGCTAAAATGAGCGAAATTAATGACAAAAACGTTGATTGTTATGGAATTAGTCCCAAAAATATATGAACAAATTTATTATACGTAATTAATGTTTAATATTGTTTGGAATATGCTTTTATTATTAGTTACCATAAGTACAATTAGAATTTATTTGATTTCCATAAATATTTGATTTTATTTCGATTTTTCATTATTAATTCGAATTTATATTCCAAAAAATTTTCAAAGATCCGATTTCAGAATTTCGGGTCAATTTTCTGATTTTAACCCGACTCATTTTTATTTGTACTAGTATAGACTATAGAGATGAATTGAGAATTGTGTCACATATGCGTATGACACATGCCAATCAAATTATTATATGATTGGTAAAAAAATGATTTATTACTTAAGAATAAAATTTCAGAATGACGTGTAACGTCGTCGTTGTCGGTAGACACAAAGCTCCATAATAAGACTTGACTATTATTATTATCTTCGAAATATCTCTCACAAACCCAAAAAGTTTCTCCGTCTTCGATTCCGATCACAATGAACCCAACCCAAAAACCCGACCCGGTTTACGATATCGTCATACTCGGAGCATCCGGATATACCGGCAAATACGTCGTCAGAGAAGCTCTCAAGTTCCTTCAAACACCATCTTCTCCGTTAAAGTCTCTAGCTTTAGCGGGTCGTAACCCGACCCGTTTAACCCAATCTCTCGAATGGGCTGCCCGCCCGAACCCACCTCCTTCCTCTGTCGCTATCCTCACTGCTGATACATCTGACCCTGATTCACTTCGTCGTCTCTGTACTCAAACCAAACTCATCCTTAATTGTGTTGGACCTTTTCGTATCCATGGTGATCCTGTTGTCTCTGCTTGTGCTGATTCAGGGTAAAGTGTGAATCTTTTCCTCTGTTTTCTTAATTGTGTTTTAGTTAAAGTTGATGCCTTTTTGAAGTTTGAGAACTCGTGATTGTTAACATTTGAGCTTTGTTTCAATGATACTTAAAAAGATCAAATTTTTATTGAGTTCTTGACAAATGATAGCTTATAAGAATGGTTAAAAGTTGTAGCTAGAAAAAGTGTAATCTTTTCTAGTTTCATATGATTGCTGCTACATGGTTCTTTATAGGGACAAAAATTGTAGCTTGATGAAAAATGTGTAATCTTGTTAAGTTGGTTTTTTTGTAGGTGTGATTATTTGGATATAAGTGGTGAACCTGAGTTCATGGAGAGAATGGAAGCTAACTACCATGAAAGAGCAGAAGAGACTGGCTCTTTAATTGTTTCTGCTTGTGGTTTTGATTCAATTCCTGCTGAATTGGGTCTTCTCTTCAATGCTAAACAATGGGTATCTCCATCGGTTCCTAACCAGATCGAAGCGTACCTTAGCTTGGAGTCTGACAAAAAAATTGCTGGAAACTTTGGGACTTATGAGTCTGCGGTTTTAGGTGTTGCTAATGCGGAGAAGCTTAAAGAACTAAGACGTTCAAGACCAAGAAGGCCAAGACCATCGGTAAGTAATGCATTTAACATAATGTGACATTGAAACAATTCTGCTTGAGATTGAGATAGCGTTGACTAAATTGTCGATTTTGTACATTCTTCGTTAGTAGGCTTTGGCTTATATTGAACTCTGGAATGTATTTGCAGATTTGTGGTCCTCCTGCTAAAGGACCAACACTAGAAAACCAGAAGACGATAGGTCTTTGGGCTTTAAAGCTACCTTCAGCTGATGCAGTAGTTGTTCGTAGAACTCTCACAACTCTAACAGAGAAACCCCATGGGCTTCCTGGGCTTAATGAAAGTCCTGAGCAGATACAAAAGAGAGAAGCATTTTGGTCATCGATCAAGCCTGCTCATTTCGGTGTAAAGATAACGTCCAAATCTCTCTTTGGGATATTCCGATATGTTACACTTGGAGTGTCCCTTGGTTTACTTTCCAAGTTCTCCTTCGGAAGATGGCTTCTTTTGAAATTCCCTTCGGTTTTTAGCCTTGGTTGGTTCCAGAAGAAAGGTCCAAGTGAAGAAGAGGTAGAAAGCGCTACGTTTAAGATGTGGTTCATAGGTCGTGGGTACAGCGAAGAGAGTCTAGCTTCACAAGGAGAAACAAAGCCTGACCTGGAAATTATTACAAGAATTTCAGGACCTGAGATTGGGTATATAACCACCCCAATAACACTTGTTCAATGCGGTCTGATAGTCTTGGGCCAGCGCGAAAGCCTAGTTAAAGGAGGAGTCTTCACACCCGGCATTGTGTTTGGTTCAACCGATATCCAGCAGCGACTTGAAGAGAATGGTATATCCTTTGAGGTGATTTCAAAGATCAAGACTCAAGGATAAAAAGAGATCTCTTCTCCTGCTTTCCTATTCTGCTTTTAGTTGTTATGTTTCTCCATCTAATTAGCTCGAGTTCGAGCTTTTTAATCACAGTGAAGACCGTTTGATGGTAAGTTGTATTCCAATAATGAAAAACCGTTTCCTTTACTTTTACTATGGATTTATGTACTCAAAACAGAGAATCTGGTTCTTAAAACTGGAAACAGACCATCCTAGTGAAAAAATGGATGGTAAGAGAATCCCATAAATCATATTACTGTCTATCATTTACCAAAACTGCAATCCCTGCTACAAAATAAAACATTGTTCAAAAAGTGGTTCTTTTGCTGATATTGTTTGATACTTTCCCATTAGCCTCTGCATTTGTACATGGAAACTCTGTTTTCAGCCATTGAAGTGTTTTGCAGATATCAGCAGAGCTATTCAAGCCTCCTTTGTGGCTGAGTGATGAAACAGAACCGTTTAAAAACTCAATTGTTGAATCCAGTGAGCTGAAAATGAGGCCTTAAGAGAGAGAAAGGTCATCGCGGGAAAGAAACTTTCCGAATTTTGAACAAGCTGGGCCAAAGAGTAACTCCAAGCTAAAATCAGGACCAGATATCGATCTTCCGTTACCACCAACTTTATCTAGCTCTCCTATGGAAAACTGCAGGAGCAAGAAATGGCCATAAATAAGAATGCCAAGAGAGAACAATGGCTTTGAGGCATCTGGAGAATTTTACCTGAAGTAAGCCATTGGTTATAAAAGCTGTGTTGAAGCAAGTATAAAAAAGACGGCTTCCAATCATTTTCTGGTAGAATGTGATGCGTATGTCTCCACTCACCTGTCCAAGAATCATATGCTTATCAACATATTATCAAAAACATTGTCTGGAAGAAGATTTGTTTTGTGACTTACTCTCACAGGTTTGTCAAAGTAGAAATCAAGACATGTTTTCTCGTCGATAATTGAACTCTCTGTATCCATTTGAACAACAAGACGTGGCTCTTCTCCATCTGTTACTTCCTCATCTTCTTCTGAATCACAGTTCACATGAGATATATAATACCGTGGACTCGAGCTTCTACAATACCCTTTCTTGAATTGTCTACAACAACCTCTTGCAAGTTCTACAGACGGTCGATACATCTCATTTGGAACCTAACATCATAAATATCATTGCATCAAAGTTTATATATTAAGAAGCAACAGAGTCTGCAATGCATCAAAGTGTATATATCATTACCTCCTGAAGTTCCGAGACCACAAAGAAGACGGAATCAACGTTGGCTGTATCGTAAAGTCTAATTCGAAGCAACTCTCTGCTATGTTCTTGAGGTAATTTAACCTCGGGAGGTCCCCTTTTACGAAACGAAAGTAAATCTGACCAGTATTTCACATAACGACGTTGGCTTGGTATTGAGACCTGTCATGGTATTGTTTATTAGATTGATTCTCTATTAATCCGTAGCTAAATTAAGTACTTACTCCATTATTGTTTGTTGTTCTTCTGCTTGCATACATCTCAAGAGCTTCTTCAGCTGACATTCCACCATAAACAAGGTACGCCGATACCATTAACCCTGTTCTGCCTTTTCCTGCCTGCACAAAGTACATTAGAATATGAAAATGCAACAATGTGGAAGAAACCGTGTTGTGGTTTTAAGAAAGTACCATGCAATGAACAACCGCGATGTTCTTGGGATCTAGTGAGAGCCAAGAATGAACACTTTCGCAGAAAAGTTGGATCATTTTGAGAGATGGAACATGATTGTCATCAAACGGAAATCGTTCCACGCGGCCATAGAAGTTTTCTGGATCATAAGATTCCTCTATACATAGATTATAGACCTAGGAAAGAATTGCAGGACCAAAAAATGTTTAGAGAGATTGGTTAATTTGTTGATCAATGTTTGATTAACCATATGTCTTATAGACCTTGTAATGATCAGGATGTCGCATATCGAGCACGGATTTGACTTGCCAAAGAGGGTTTCTATAAACTGCTCTCATTCGTTCAGCTGGAAAAGACATTGCCAATAATTTGTCAGAGATGTAAGACATGTCGAGATCATATCCACCGATGATTAACCGTCTTCGTTTCTTGGACACCAAGCTACGTAGGTAAGAACTTGTGCTAAGGTAAGTTAGAATGTGAACCCTCGTAAATTCCAAAGTTGATTTTTCTTTTACAGGCCCTCTTGAGAGCTTGAGACCCATTCTGAAGGAAAGAAACATATCATTAGGTTAGGTAACGTACTTCGCAAGAAAAACAATATGATCAAAAGGTTTATACCTGAAGAATTGAACATGAAGTTGAGGAAGAGATATTCAGGTTCCCAAATTGAGGGAATTGGGAACCCGAGAAAGAAGAAGATGTCGCGAGGTAATACAAAACGAAAAACTTCAACTTTTTGGAGGAAATGGGTTTTGTTACCTGAATAGAGATAATGGTCATTCATAGAAGAAAACGATGAACAACGATGCAATTCCATTTTTGGAGCTCCTGAAATTTAGCCAAGCTTCCCTTTAAATTTAGGTTTTTCTTTCTACTCTTATATTCTCTTTCTACATTTAACGGTTAGTTTTGGCGGGAATGTATAAGGGTATATATATAAGAAGAGTGATCATTTTGATTCTTCAATTTCTCAAGCTTCCAGCTTTCGTTTCGTAAAGATTCCATTAGTATGAAGAAAATTATATATATATATATATATATATCTATGGCTTGAGTACATTCATGTTCGGTCGGTTCCATTCGGTTCAGGGTAGTTTGGTTAGGGATTCTAAGATTCATGCGGGTATTATGATGAGAATGACTGAAGCAGTACAAGAATTAATCTCAACCAAATCTAAGTTCTCCTCATGAATGGATATTTAACGCGAAGATGCATACAATCTAGACTATGATGATGATATCATATATAGTCACCTTCTCAACTACTTATGGGGACACATTGAATGTGTCTTTACTTCGTGCTTCATGGTTACATAGAGACTACTCTGTTGCAAGAATGATAATCTTACTTATGATGTTAATAATTTTTCATGGGCGCATAAACGGGTTGTTGTGAAATTTCCTTTTCTTTCGGTTCAAGTTTTGTGATTGCTTCAAGTTTGGTCCCAAATGAGATTCAGTGGTTCTAATCTATTTCTATACCAAGATGTGTGTGTATCTATCTTGCTTCAATGATTTGTCCACTTAGATATAATGATTAAAGTGGCCAAAGTTTTAGCCTTTTTCCCCACCACAGAAGAAAGGTAAGAGTGAAAAAGCTTCTTTAGTGTTTCTTTCAAGTTCATCCACTTTACATGCATTCATATATGCTTATGTATTCACTTGTTCACCAAAATATGCAAATCTATCCGTCTAAACCATAACCATTTGGACCTTTTAACACAATAATTGTTTTTTTTGAATTTGATAAGCAAGGTTATAACAATCTAGAAAAGATACAAATAAAATTATTTAAGATAAAAACCCCTAAACGTAATCTCAAAGAATAAAACATACAAAGTAGATTAATTTAAGGGACTGTAAAACTTTTAGTCAGATATTTTTTTCTCCTAATTTTAAGTTTGTTTGTTTTGCCTTTTTAAATATACTATTTAGAATTTCAAAATTACGGATAACATCTTGCTAACTCAGGAAATGTTTCATGGCTTACGGACTAATAGAATGTGTAGAACGGATTTTTTGGCAATCAAGACGGATATGAGCAAAGCGTATGATAGGATAGAATGGGATTTTTTAGAGGCGGTCATGACTAGGTTGGGTTTTAATTCTGCGTGGGTTTCTTGGATTATGTGGAGTGTTAGTTCAGTCTCGTATCAGGTTTTATTGAATGGAGAACCTAGAGGAAATATCATTCCCAATAGAGGTTTACGGCAAGGTGATCCCCTATCGCCTTATTTGTTTATCTTATGTACGGAGGTACTGATTGCAAATATTAACAAGGCGGAAAAGGAGAAGAAGCTCACCGGAATTAAGATAGCGAAAAGAAGCCCTGCAATTTCACATTTGCTTTTTGCGGATGATAGTCTCTTTTTCTGTAAAGCAGATTCAGAGCAATGTAAAACGGTGATGGATATTATTGGGAATTATGGTAAAGCTTCAGGGCAAGAGATAAATTTTAGTAAATCATCGGTTATGTTTGGTAAGCGCGTAGCAAACCAAAAAAAAGATCAACTTAAAAACATCCTTGGAATCACTAAGGAAGGTGGCATGGGTACCTATTTGGGTATTCCAGAGAGCTTAGGAGGCTCGAAAAGTAAAATCTTTAATTATGTCCGAGAAAGACTTAATGAACGGATTAATGGCTGGTCAGCTAAATTTTTGTCAAAAGGTGGGAAAGAAACAATGATCAAGTCAGTGGCTTTGGCACTCCCAACCTATGTTATGTCTTGTTTTAAACTCCCTCAAGAGTTAACATCTAAGTTAACAAGTGCTATTTCTAATTATTGGTGGAGCTCTAATGGAAGAGATCGTGGGATCCACTGGATAGCATGGGAGAAAATGTGTAAGGACAAGGAGGAAGGAGGTCTAGGCTTTCATTCCCTCGATACTTTTAATGATGCCATGTTGGCCAAACAGAATTGGCGCTTAATCCAATACCCGAACTCTTTAGTAGCTCGGGTGTTAAAAGGTAGATATTTCAGGAATATTCATCCTTTACATGCAAAAAAACCAAACTCTCCATCGTTTGGATGGAAGAGTATTTTTTCGACTAAAAGACTAGTTACGATGGGAGCTAGATGGTCAATAGGTTCAGGTTTCAACCTATCGGTATGGCGAGATCCTTGGATTCCTGATATTAATCCACGGCCCGCGAATGGGAGAGGAAAATCATTGCTTCCAAGTTTGATGGTTAACCATTTAATTAATCCGGATTCTAAAAAATGGCACCTTCCCATTTTACAGGAATATTTGGACCCAGTGGATATTCAGTTTATTAGAGGACTGACTATTAGTCAAGTTTATAAGCCAGATAGGCTTATTTGGCATCATACAAAATCAGGAAGATATACAGTAAGGTCAGGCTATCAGGTTGCTCGAGAGATGACAGAACCGATCGAATGGGGCCCAAGTTATAAATCATTATAAGCACAAGCTTGGAAAATCAAATGCCCTCCAAAAATAAAACATTTCTTATGGCAAATTGCTTCAGGAGCCTTAGCAGTTACTTCAAAATTAACACATAGAGGGATTCAATGTGATATTATCTGTAAAAAGTGTGAGTTGGCAGAGGAAACAATAAATCATGCTTTATTTTAGTGCTCACATTCTCAGAACATATGGGAGTTATCAACAATCCCTACGGCATCAGGTAGTTTTCCTCTAAGCTCGGAACTTTTAAACCTAGATTATCTTTATTGGAGGCTACCATCTATGTTAGATGGGGGGGGGGGGGGAGAAAACCGACCTTTATGCTTGGATCTTGTGGTTCATATGGAAAGATAGGAATAAAAAGGTTTTCAAGGGATTATAATCGGATCCCACAGATATCTTAAATCACGCTTTAAGTGAAAAATCATTGTGGGAAGAAGCTCAGTTAGAACCGATCGAAACTAGTCCCATTACAGAAACTATGGAAAGCCCAGTTCAGACAATAAGATGTCGGATTGATGGCTCTTGGAAAAATTCGGACCCAACTATGGGTATAGGATGGTGGTGTTTTCAAGGAACTGAACAAACGATACTACTCGGTGCAAAGTGCCTGCGGAGATGTCCCTCCCCACTTCACTCGGAGATGGAAGCTTTAATATGGGCTATGAAGAATATCTTTTCAAGAAGGATCGATTGTCAGGCGTTTGAAACAGATTGTTCGGAGTTAGTCTCGATGATACAGTCACCTGATGAATGGCCCGCTTTCTCCAATCTGCTAGATGAGTTTGGTTTACTCCGCGCTTATTTCCCTTTCTTCTCGCTTTCTCTTATTTCTCGTTTATGCAATGTTAAAGCGGACTGCTTAGCCCGCTCTTCTAGACTTTTATTCTCTGAAATTTCTTTTGTAGACTTTTTTCCTCCTAATTGGGCAATCAATCTAGGAGTTATATATTAATTAATGTGTAGTTGATAAAAAAAAAAAAAATACATAGTACAATCTAGAATATTTTTTTTCCATCAAAATAGTTTATGTTGAGTTAATGTGATCAGTACATAGTTGTTGTTGTTATAGTCTTTTTTTTTTTTTTTTTATTATAGTCATATAAGCGGGTTTACAGAATCAAAAGTTAGAAAGATTACAACCAAATTTAGCTAGACTATGCGCAGTGCGTCGTTCCTCGAAGAGCCATTGACTAATATCTTTAGAATGTCTAAGTTTTCTTACCAATTAAAACATTTTTTTATAGTGGCAACTAAATTTTGGAATCCTTAACTAAAAAACGCACACGCTATATCATGATATTTTCTTACAAATATTAAAATAAAATTTGATTATTTACTGCATTTATATCCATAAAAAATATTCAAAATCAAATCTCTAGTCTAGAGAGAATGTTCATCAATTTAAACGTTCTATACTAACATTGCACCATATAACTTTGTTTCTTGGTATCAATGTTAAGTATTTATACTATTTTCGCAAGTTTTTGACAAATATTACAGAGAATACAAGAAAAAAGAAAGACCGAAAACTACATAAATCACCATAAACTACAACACAAGCAGAAAACAGAAAGAAAGCACAAGTGAAAACTCTACAAGTAGAAACCGAGGAAAAAACACCGATTCCGAACCACAAAATACGGTTTTGTTTTCTGCTTCTTCGTTTTGTGTCAACTTCTAAAGGTTTTTAGATTGTATATACGAACCTTCCTCTACCTTATAATACAATGTTGCATTAGCTCTGTTAATATTTCAATTATAGTATATGTCTGAAATTTGAAGACGTCAGAAAAAAACTTTGAAAAAGGCGAAAAGATTGCTTTGAGGTTGGAGATAGTATTTAATTTAGAAACCGACCATTCATTAATCATCATTAAATTAAAATATGTATTGTTTTTCAAAACTAACTTTCTTATTCCTCCAATGAAAATGTAAAGGAGAGACTCGGAATAGCTTATTGCCTTATTCAAATGATTGTTCGGTTATAGCGTTGAGATAAATCAAATGAAAACTGAGCTTTCAAACTTTCATGAGCTGGGTTGTGATGTGTTTGGTTTACTATTTTATATTTACTTTAGCTTTCAAGAGTTTTAAAAAAAACTTTTACCATTTGTAGGAAAGTTATAAAATATACCACAAAAATATATCAATATTAATGTAATAAGTATATTTTTAAAAAATCAATAAAATAGTATAAAATTTAATCTCTGAAACTTTAGATTATAAACTCCATAAAGCGGCTTTTCTTACAATTAAAAGTGAAAAACATGATTTTCTTTGTTTGATTGGGTAAACGACTGTCGAACATCGCTAAAGACTTGAAAATTTAAATTTAGACTTTGATGTCTATCCATAATTATAGTTATAGTTAATTCTTATAATTATTCATGTATATTATCTAAAAGTATTGTAAAAAAAAGTTTATATTTATTTCTTTGCATTGAAAGTCTATAAAAATGACAGGTAAAAGGTTTATATTTAGTTCTTTACATTAAAATGAAATTTATTTCAAATGACAATACCACTAAAATTTAATGGAACTTGGAAAGTAATAAATTGAATACCAAGACTTAATTAGGAAGAATGACTATAAATACTGAATCAAAGAAGTAAATTCATGAATAAAATACATAATTGAATAAAAAAGTTACTCTCTTTATTCCTAAAAGGTTGATGTTTTAGTTTTTGTTATTTGTTCCACAAAAATTGATTTTCTAAGATTTTCTTTTATTTTTATTGACTTATAATAGTAAATTGTAAACTTCAAGATACAATGATTATAAATCATTAACTTTCTTAGACTACTATTGGTTGATAATTATAAAAAAATATTTTAAATTAAAAAATAATGTTAAAATGATCAAAGAATGATTGAGTTCTTAATATGTGATAACTCCAAAACATCAAACTACTAGGAACAGAGTATTAATTTATTTATAACTCAACTCCGGTTTGGGTCCGGTTACAGTATACAAAACCGAACTAAACCGAACCATGTGATGTAAAGTAAGGTTCCGTACTTTTTATATAACCCCACAAGCTCCTTCTAAAATCTAAGAGAGGTTGCAAAAATATTAAATACGATCTCTGATTCTGCGACGAACGCGGAAAGCGAAATTGGAGAAGAAGAAGAAAAGCCCCCCACCACCACCACCACAACAACGTAAAGGAAACCCAAAAAGTCGGAGGCCAAAATAAAAATAAACCCTTTATTTTAAGTCGCTTGCACGATCTCGGAGAAGGAAGAAAACACCGACCCAGAAGAAAAGGATTCAGCTTTTCTCTGAATTCGTCATTCTCTTTGAAAAAGTATTTTTCTTTTTTTCTATTGAATCAGTTCTCAAAACTTTTTTTTGATCAGAATGATTTTGCCATTTATTCGGTAATGTGAATATTTTCTTACAATTTTCGAGGGTTTTATTTAGTTTTGGGATTTAGGATTTGCTTAAGAAACGTAAAGTATGGATCTTTATGCTTCAAGATGAAGTTTAGCGTTATAGTTTTATTCATTTTATTTTATTTGATTAAAGAATCCTTCAAGCTACCTTGCATTTATGACATTTTGTTTGCTTAGTTTTCGAATAACTTATTTTCTCTGTTTTTGTTTATCAGATTTGTTCTTTTGAGAGCCAAGAGCCAAGCTTGCTTAACTAAATTTGAAACCTTTTGATAGGTAATGAATGTTCTTTGCTTTGTAGTACAAAAATGGTCGTTTCAAGTTACAGAAAAAAAAAGGTTTAAGTTTTGGAATCTTGTGGTGGATTGGATAAATATTGTTGCTTGATGGATTATTTTATGACATTTCCTATTTTTAGTCGGTTTTTTTACGGCTCAAAGTTTTGGTTTTTATGTTTTTAATTAGTTTCTGTTAGGGGTTTTTGTGTTTAATCTCTTCACTAATCTGTTTTTGAGTTGTCTACTCTTTAAAATTCACAAAGCAATGCAAAATTAGACGGCTATATTGAGCAGTAACTCTTGCAAGAAGTAATTTGTATATATATGATCTCATATGTGTTTTCTTGTTTGTATATATATGAAGTAGTGATTATGTTTGATTTGGTGTTAATGTCTGAAATTATGAACAGATTGTTGTCTCTTTCTGGTGCTTCTTGATGGATGAAGAAGCTGTGAAACCCTTTGGAACGACTGAAATGATGAATAAGGAAGATGGTTCTAGCCCGGGAGGTGATTCTACAGGGAAGGCAATGGCTTCAAAGTCTAAAGAGAAAAAGATCCCTCATTACCTCAGAGCATCCACTGGTTCGTGTCATGATCTGTGCAAGTATGGGAAGAGACAGATACCTGTGGAGAAACCATGGCGTTCGACTACTAAAAAGATCTTCAAGAAATCTCTTGATGGGGAGTTGAATGAAACTTTGAAGCCGGGTTCTTCTAAAGTGAAGAAGGTAATGGATGTCAAGAAAAAAATGGTTAGTGATGATTCTTCTGAGGTGATTAAAAGAGAGGTTGTCAAGCATCAAGTGAGTGGTGTCTCTAGTGGAGTGAAGAAGCCAGAGGTATTGATAATATCATCTGGTGATGAAACTCCTGTGAAGCAGATGAAGAAGAAGACAACATTAAGTTCCAAACTTAAACCTTCACCAGATTTGGGATCTCGTTCATCAGGAAATGTTGATGCCCTGAAGCCGAAAGTTTTAACGAAATCGTATTCAGCACTAGCAACATCGAAATCTAAGGTAAACCATGAGCATGTTGCTTCACCAGTTTTGAAACCTAAAATGGGTAACAGAAGTGAAGGAAAAGACGAAGATGCAAAGATAAAGAAGGTTACAGTTTCCTCAAGAGTTGCTTCTAAGAAGGTTCCGGTGACTCCTAGAGCGTCGCTTTCTCCAAGATTATCACTAAGAGTAGCTGGAAATTCAAGTTTGAGAAAGAGTCAGAGCTTAAAGGCCGGCTCTTCCTCTTCTCGGCAAAATCAGAAACCAAAACGTGTGAATCACACTGATGAATCTAATAAGCAGTTGGATGATTATCCAGTCGAGGAGAAAACATTGCACGTTGTTGAAATGGAAACAACTAACAATGTCGTCTCTGAAAATGATCAGAATCAGCAAGGTTTTGTTGAACCTTTTCTTCCTCCTCTTCCACCGACCCACTCAATTCCAAAAGATGATGAGTGTACTGTTTCAGAAACAGAGGAGTATGAGTACACTTCAGGAAGCAACGAAGCTGAGAGCGAAGAAGAAGAGATTGGATTGTCCAATGGAGAGAAAAAAACAAGAGCGGCGAGAAAGGAGGGTGATTCTGCAGATGAAACTGCACGGAAGTTACGTTTCAGAAGAGGAAAAATTATGGATCCTGATACTGTTGGTGAGAGTGCAAGGAAGCTCAAGTTTAGACGAGGAAGGGGTCTAGGGGAAGACAAAGCGCAAGATGCACAAGTTAGGAGAAGCTTTAAGAAGAGGGAAGATATCAGAGAAGAAGAAGTCGATGAGGATGGTGAAAAAGTTGTGCTGAGGCATCAAGATGTTCAGGAGAAAGATGCACAGGGACTGTTCAACAATGTCATTGAAGAAACAGCGAGTAAACTCGTTGAAGCTCGAAAAAGCAAAGTTAAAGCTTTGGTTGGTGCTTTCGAAACCGTCATTTCTCTTCAAGAATCTTAAAACGTCCTGCTAACTCTGGTATTGGACATGCAAGAGCAAAAGCTAACATTGAATCTTTGATTTTCTAGTAGTAGTTTATTTGGTTTTGGTTTGGTCTGCAGAAACTGGTAATCTAGATTGAGCCGGTTTGAATCGTTTCGGTTTGTTGAACCTGAAGAAGATTTGATGCTTCATACAAAGTTAAAGGATATGTCTCTGCCAAACATTAATAGTGGTGCTTTGTGAATAATACTTGATGGATTGGGGTTTGTGTTTGGTTTTGGTTCTTCTAGACCGGTTTGTTGGTTTTCATTGGATTGTTTGAGTTTATGGTTCAGTTTGTATAGAAAAATTCTGCTCTGTTTTCTTACATTTGTTGTTGGTTTTTGTCTTGTAAAAAGAAGCACTTTCAATAGGTTTTCTTTCTGCTTAAACCGGATCCTAAACCGTATTTTCTGGTTTTGCATAACACCGATCGTTATTGGTTTATGAACAAATGAATTGATGGCCAACCTGAAAATGCCACGTCATCTAAACCACGCTAGTAAAAGCACAAAAGCAGAGCATATTTGGCACATAAGTGTGATTGTACATAGTCATCAACACGAGACATAATCTAGTAAGCCAAATTCAAATATTTGATTTTGAAATTTTTCTTGTCCATACCACATATCTCTATCGGGAGATCAATGAAATCGATGGAGATTACGAACCAAAATCGAAATATGATTATGGAAATATGGTGGATTTGCATATCCGAGTTTAGGCTATTTAACATTATCTCTAAATATATTATTTATATTTAAGTTTATTTTAATTTAGAAAACTTAAATTTATTCCAAGTCTATATAAGTACCTTGTATCTTTTATTCTTATGAGGGTCTACTATAATTCTTTGGGAGCTAAATCACGTGGAACTCGAACGTTCTCCAAATCCCACCATCACAACCATCAAAGTCAAAATCAATTAGTCCCACATTGGCTTTTAAACTTTACTTTGAATTAATATCAAAGACTTTGACCGGGTGGCAAAAAATTTGGGTAAAAGTTTTGACTTCCAAAAATAATTTGTTACATAAAATAGTGAACAATTATTACAAAATGTAGTTGTATCTTTCAAGGTTTTATCAATAACATTCAGATGACAACAAAAAATACAGATATCTCATAATTCCAAATGTTACGCATATAGGTGTTTATACATGCACCCATGGACATATATTTAGACCGGTTCGGTCCTTTTAAGGTCTAGGACGACTGGTCAAATCCATCACCACTTTTGTATATCTTAAACCATATATAGCTATAAACAAAAATCAGCTAAACCCTACCAACAAAATTCTATTGTAAATTGATTTATATAAGACTTGTTTGTATGTACAATGTAGTCTTTAATGATCTAACATTGTAACTATGAGATAGAATTTTATGTTGTGGTCTCCTCTCTTGCAAGTTAAACTACTAATCAAAAGCACAATGTAGATAAATGTCCACCATAAATCGTTAATTACATAGAAAATTGCGCGTTCAAAAATCGTCTGAAAAACTGGTTTCTTTTCTTGTAACATATGGGATATAGTATTTTCAGGTCTTACCGTTTTTAAATGATTAATTCTTTGTATCTAAAATTTGAGAAAGAAATTAAGTCTGCAAAACGTTACGTTTTAGAGTGTCTGAAAATTGGAGATTATGATTACAACATGTTGTCGCCTTATGCACCACAAAAGCAAAGTATTTGACTCTTACAGAGAGCATGCATCAAGGATGAAAAGATTGCTAAAAGAAGTGGTTTTGTGCAATAAAAATATGAAGTGAACTGCGGCAGTCTGAGAGCTATATACATTATTGTCTAAAAATATGAAACGAAATGTGAGTACTTCATAATTTGGCAAGTACTACATTATAATTTTACTTTCTGATCAAATAACGTGAGAAGGTTTCTGTATTTTTTGCTATTGATTTACATGCTACTGATCTTTATAGTAAAACAGACAAAAACATTATAAAATATAAATTTAAGTACTTTGCTATGTTTTCTTTTTATCAAGTTCCAAGATACTTCCCACACCGGCTGGAAATGAACTTTTAGAATCCTTCTCCCATAAATAAATTCCTTGCGAAACACGTCGTTTGATTACCGAGGTTCAATGGCCGAGTAGGTTGCTTCGGCCACAGTCCAAGATTCTTCGTTTAGCTCCTTTCGTGACGAGGAACCAGTCTCAAGATGACTTCTACGGACTAAATAACCAGGCGGTCCAGGCGGATCGATCTCCATTGTGTCGCTTGCGAACATGACAGACACTAATAACATCGTGGGTCTATCCTCTGCACGTTCTTGAACACACAAGAGACCAATCTGTATGCATCTTTTAACTTGGTGTGGTTGAAATGTTGATGAATCAAGGATAACTTGATCTATGCTGTCGAGCCCTTTTCCTTCCTTCCAATTCCTCCATATCTGTTCACCATAAAAAAAGCTTTAAGCGTTTATCAATCACAACAAAGAAAAAGAAGACGAAAATGCTTTGGATGATTATTAAACTTACATATGTAAGAAGACTTTCTTCGTTCTCCGAGTATATATAAAAGTCTCTGTTTTTTACTCCAAATATAATCTCAAGAAGCACGACTCCAAAGCTGAAAACATCTGACTTTGTTGAATAAGTTCCGTCCTCCGCGTATTCGGGAGACATATAACCGCTTTGTCAAGAAACAAGAAACACAATTGTGAGTTTTTGTAAAGTGTTTGCTTTATTTCCAAATGTAAAGATGATGCTGATAGTTTGTTTGCTTACAAAGTTCCAACGATCTTTGTTGTGTTAGCTGCTGTCGTACGCTTGTCGAAGAGTTTACTCATCCCAAAATCTGATATCTTCGGAATCATATCTTGATCAAGTAATATGTTGCTCGGTTTTAGGTCCCTGTGGACCATCGGACGCCGCGAATCTTGGTGAAGATATAAAAGTCCCCGAGAGATTCCATTAATAATTTGGACCCTCTTCTCCCAGGTTAGCTTAGAGCTTTGGCTTTTGTCTAAGAAAACCAAACTCACATTAGTTTCTTTTCAATAACTTTTAACCTTAAAAAATACAACTTCTTAAACTGTGAGGCACTAACCGAATATAAACTTATCGAGGCTAGAGTTTTCCAAGTACTCATATATTAAAATCATCTCACCACCCTCAAAACAGTATCCCAGGAGCTGGACGAGGTTGACGTGTTGGACACTGGCGTTCAGACTCAACTCATTCTTAAATTCATCGATACCTTGAGTTGACATCTTCAACAATCTTTTCACAGCGATTTCTTGTCCGCCAAGTAACCTTCCCTGTTATATGTATATTATATAAATTACACGGAATTTACTGAACTAGTAGATATCTTATGTGTATATATATGTTAATCTACCTTGTAAACAATACCAAAACCACCTTGACCGATTTTATTTGAATCCGAAAAACCTTGGGTCGCCACTACAACTGTTTCAAGTGTCATTTCCTCACAATGTAATTCTCCTGATATAGTCATTAGAAGTAAAAAATTACTTACTCAAGTGAAAAAAAAACAATTTCCATTCTGACACAAATATGAAGAGAAAAAAAAAAGATAATCACAAATGTACCAATAGGTGCGGTAATTGCTTTTGTTGGCGGTCTCTTTTTTCTTTTCCAAACGCAGACCATTATAATAAAACTTAGAAGAAGCAAAATGACAACTCCGACAATAATAAATATTATTTTTGTATTATTTTTTTTATTTTTATTTTTTCCTTCGTCCCCTGAAAAACAAGTAAAAATGTCACAAAATTTATCACGTTATTTATGTTACATGATGAATATATATTTTTTTATGTCATCACGTAATCGTATATGAGTGTTTCGGTATTTTCTAACCACATCCGGCATCCCATGTATTTTATTTGCCACAATATACTGTTATGTTACGTAAGTGTATATCTATTTATTATTATTCATTTTTGAACAATACATCATTTTTTAATATTAAAAAAATCTTTTGTTTTATGTGCTAATTTGCTAATATATCCTCACTCAAAATTAATTTTAACTCATGTGCCTAATATTTTTTCTATATTTCAATGGAAACAGTTTTTTTTTTTTTTTGTTGTTGTTGTGTGTTTGTGTGGAATATATAACAATAACTTCCGATCCCTTATTATTAACGTAAATCTTTTTAATATCTAATATGAGTTGTTTTATCAACATCCCATATCCATTTTTCTTTTTGTTAAAGTAAACCAGCAGAGTTATTGTATATCGTTCAAAAGTCAAAACCAAACTGTTTGGTTTGATTAAGGAATCGTGATATATTATTACTAGAAGCTATTATGATGACATGTAAGTTTTCTAATAGATGTAAAACTATAGTCACTAAAAAACATGTGTTATGCATCCTCGGTTTAAGGCTTAATCGAATAGATTTAAACAAAAACAGAGCAATGGCCGAAGTCTTGTCGCAAACCAAAGTAATAAGTTTTTTTTTAAAATGAGGTGATTAATATTAACATTGTAAAATTCTTTTAAGAAATCATTTTGCAATGATAATTTTTCTGAAAAATATATAACCTATTTTAATATTTTTGATTTTTATAAAATTAGTTAGATTTGTATGTAGTTTTTGGAGGGAGAAACTAACCGATATCAATGGCTTCCATCCTAAGTCTAACATAAAGATCTTGACCAGCATTCTTGTATTTCCGGAGATCGAGTAGCTCTCCTACCCAAATAACACAACCTGATCCACCATTTTCCATATTTGCGTTCGCGTATGCTGTACAGTTGCAAGTCGCTAAGCACTTCTTCTTGCATTCCTTCAACCCAAGTTTCATGTCTACAATTGACACTACTGTATCTGGCAGCTTCATGGTCTGCAACTTCAAGAATTGATCACCATTGCACTTCGACTGTGTCTTCCGCACACACCCTTCTTTTTTATCTCCTAGCTCCCATGCTTCTTGATGTCTCGCCTGAAACCCTTTGATGCAGTTACAAATTGGTGATGTGTTTATGTCACAGAGACCATTAGGACCACACATGTTGTACACATGGCATATATCATCTACTTCTGGTAATAAATACCCTATCCTCTTCAATTCCCCTGAAGTTGGGATCCATGTGGACCGGTTCAATATTCCGGAATGGTCCATCCTCAGTATTGAGAAAACGTTACCGTTAGTTACGCTAAATGAATAGCTGATTTCCTCACTCTTCATAGTAATGTTTTCGGTTCCGTGCGTCAATTTTCCAATCACGTTAATGTCACTTACACTATTCCACGGACCAATTCGGAGTGATGGCTCACCCTTTTCCCGTATGTAGCTCTCAGGAGGCTCACGGATTTCTACTTTGTAAGTGTAATCGCCAGTTGAAGGATCATTAATGCTTTTCCATGATTTTAGTATCCTATTTAGACCCGACTTCTTATCCCAACCCAGTTTCATATCAGGGAGTAATGTATCCGTCGGAAAGTCGAAGCTTTGCCATAAAAATCCACTTGTCTCGTTGTTACTGGAGTATCGCAATACCAAGTTGCCATTGTCAAGAAGCTCGGCGGTCAGGTCCGACTTCAGACTTTGGCCAGTCACATTGGTTGACCAAACAGAGTTACTAGTATGATCAAAGAGATGGAGGTTGTTACTGAAGATTTTGAGTGTTCCGATAGGCTTGGAGAGTGGATTGTCTCTGTTGGCAACCCAAACAACTTCATTAGGCAGCTTTCGGTACCACATGCCAAGGTACCATCGGTCACCAACACTGGAACTTGGGGCCGGTTTGAAAAAACCAAGCTCAAGAATACTCTTTGGGGACGAGATCTTGTTTTGGATAGATATATCGAAGGCAGCTGACGATGAGATTCTTGAATTATACACGGAGAAACCTTTGTGAAATAAGACGAATAAAAATAATACGATCCTCATCTTTTTCTTTTTTTTCTCTTTGTCTTCTTAATCAGTTTCGTTCTTTCTTGTTTGAACAACTGGATTCTTCTTAGAATTATATATTCTCTGGACAATAATTTATTCTTTTTCAACACTGCTTGACTTTTACTACAAGCATGCGTCGTTAGGACAAAGTTAAATTTTCAACGGGACATAAATGAAACTAAAAACTACATACATGTGAGATTAATTTCTCCCACGGCAAACATTGCATATGTGGAACTAGTTGTCAATTTAAATCCTAATAAAGGTCCCCAAATCTATAGCACATCAACTGCTGGAGGATCGAGACTCGTTGATGAAGTCCATAAAACCGTTCATTTTCCATCATTTAAACTATTGTCGAATATGGGAATTTTTGGTGTTGAAGTTTTAGTTTAAATTGTCATGTTTTATTTGTTCCTAGTTTCTCTAGTGTTTTCAGTGTACCATAATTAAGTTTTTTTTTCCTTCCCTATTAAACAATTATTAAAATGAAATTTTATTTATCTTCTACTTATCTCTCCTATTATTTCTCACCCATTTTAAGTGTTCCATAGGCACTATCTATGGATCACCTAGTATTTTTATCTTAAAAAAAGAAACCAAAATTCTTTATATAGAACACTGAGGTGATTTATACACATAAACTATTTCATCTAAATAAAAGAAGCAGAAAGATAAAGAAAAATGGCCAGGATTGCAAATGGTGTTGGAATCGTTGGTCTTTTAATAATTTTCATGTTGATTTGGGGAGGTAATTTACATTATAATATGAATCTAACCAAACTCTCTATTGTTGTGTGTTTGTATTCATAACTAGATCATCACCCGTACTACAGTACGGGTTAAATTTTATTTATTACAAAATTTATAAATTGTACTCCCCAAATAATAGTATAGGATTAAGTTGTGTGTTTTTATAGTGTATTTGTTTAAATAATTTAAGCATCTTAAACAATTTTCTAAATGATAAACAAACACGGAAGAGTAATATATTCTACAAAAAAAGCATTCAAATTTTTCATATTCAAATATGTAAAACAAAACACTTGTAAATGAAAGCGTAAATGCAAAATTTAACTTTTAAAACAATCCAAACCCAAATCATAACGATTACTTTTTTATTTATTTTGTGAGTCATTAGGAATGCCAAAAGGAAATGCTAAACGCTCTCATCTTTGTCGGAAGATACCCAGTGTATTAGCGGCACCTGGGAACTGCTTTAAAAGTAATGGTAACGCATTGTGTAAAGAGTCTTGCGTCAATGAAAAATTTCTGCATGGCGCATGTCTACATCTACCGAAGCCACAGTCAAAACTCACATGCCACTGCTGGATGAGGGATGATATATCTTGTTCATACGGCTAATCCTTCCAAACCTCGCGTCAATATATTGATACTAAGGGGAATCTCATCAACTTGCATGCTTATTAATATCGATAACTGTATTTTCTGTTTTGTTTTTTTAATGAATTGAATAATTCACTATAATAAAATGGTGTTTTGCATCTTATTAACATATTAATATATACTTAGTATTAAGTCTCCTTTAGCTTAATACTATATACTAGATTGTTACCCGCGGTACACCGCGGGTTGAGTATTTTTATTATTTGTTATTTAATAATACAATAATAATTGGTTTTATTTTATTTTGATTTTTTTTTGTGGTTATATATATATTTATATATTATAGTTGGGATTGTGTTATAAGTTATCGATATTATTTGTGTATAACATGTTTTAATCGAGTCATATGTGTTACATAAAAATTATTTCCTTTTATATTAATCGTCTAATTGATACTACATAATTATTTATTTTTAAAAAGTTTGGTAATGTGTAAACATACAGCTTGTTTCTATGGTAAGATTAATTTTCATATATGTGCATTTGGCTTTTATATGTTAAATGTCAATCTGTTTGCATTGGTAATATAATTCTCAGATTTTAGATATCTTGTACGTATTATATGATTTATTTAGATGTGAAGGATTAAAATAATTTTAATCAATATAAATTGCACGATAGTTTGATTTTATTAAGGAAAAATTAATTTTTGATCATGTAAATATGGCTGTGAATAGTTTTTTTCATATGCAAAAACTTATTGTTTGAGATAATAATATGTTTTAATTAATTAGTTTGCATGATATATATTGAACTTAATAACATAATTAACATGTTAATACAAAATCAGGTAACCTCTCATACATGCTGGGCTGTAGACAACAAAGTCCTTTAATGTTACTGGGAAAAAAAAAAAAATGCAAAAGAACCGGTCAGATTAGTTGATCTGATCCGGTAACGTACCGACCGGTTAACACAGATTTGATCTCGCGAAGACGGGTCATTTTCAATTCCGCGAAACACAATCAACCTAACTTCTTCTTCTCCATTTTCTTCATCTTCTTCTCCATTTTCTTCATCTTCTTCTTTAATCTCGTCTTCTTCAGCTCAAAACCTAAACCAAACAAAACCTTAACACCACTTCTTCTCTCGATCAATCAATCAGCGATTATTCACCTTTAATCGACCATAGATCTTTCCTTAATCGTCGATCCCAATTAACATGGCTTCGAACGGCGCTTCTCCGGTATCTTTCTCACTCGATATCTGTCTGCTACAATTTAGTATCTTTATTTTGGCTCCTTTTCTAATTGACAGTCTTAAACTGACCCATTTTGTCAATTTCGGAAAATGCGTAGAGGATTGTTGATGCTACTGATAACAGCTTGGATAAGATCAAGCAGCAATTGGAATCGAGGGTTATCGGAACTTGCTTCTGGGACCTCTTATTCAAGCGAGCTGAAACTGTAAGTTCAATTCTTATTCTGACAATAGTATATTCAATTGTTTGTAACTCAAATGATTTTCACTGTTCTGAGCACAGCTAAACTTTGAATGACATAGCAACTGTACTGATTAGCTAATCGATTAATGTGTGTTTGTCTAGGAATTAACATAGAATCCGACTAATTGAAAGTTAGAAACTCCTCAACTTAGCATAAGCAGATCAAAAAATGAAGAGAAGGTAAGAGTACAGTTAGTGATTTTGGGCGGCATAAAGGACTTTATGATGATTATTTTGAAGTATCTAACCCTTGCTGTATATTGAATAGGAAGCTTCTACCATCAGAAGACATCAGGACAAAAATCTGAAACCAAGGAGAATCAAATCTACATCCGCATCTATGCAAGGTTAGTTTACACTTTCTTCTCACTGAAATGTAATTTATAAACATCTACAACATTTTCATTAATGTTAAGCTAAGATAAATTGAGTGAAAATGAGAAAACTAAATGATTTTGCATCTACCTGATTGATTGTACTTTATTCAATACATAAAAAGAATGACATAACCAAATATGACGAAAGTAAGAGTGTTTAAAGAAGTCAAATATAGTTAGCACAATAACTGGAATTGAAAGTCGATTGATTGGTTGTTACTTTCTTTTGAACTATGAGACATTGAATCTGTGAAAAGGTAAGTAGATTGTTAGTCAAATATATGATTGATTGACTGGGGGTTTTGCTTACCATAAAGCAATTATATTATAAAATAAAATGGTAAACTAAACATACCTTCTTTGATAAGATTGTTTGACAAATAATGCAAGAAGCATTATGAGTCAATATTCTGAAAAACTTCTTTGAAAACAACATTAGTTGTTTGCTTTTGAATCTTCCCTTCTTTGTCTAGAATCAGAATTTTCAAACCTGTCTTTGAGGTAACCCTAGATAAAGCAACATATAGTTGCCCATGAGAAAACACTGGCTTAGGCAGCAGATAGAGTCCAACCCTCTCTAGTGATTGTCCCTGACTCTTGTTGATAGTCATAGCAAATGCTAGTGATACTGGGAACTGTCTTCTACGCATCCGAAAAGGTAGCTTTGTATTGGATGGTGTAATATTGATTAATGAAATCAAAACAATATCACGAATTCTGTCTCCGGTTATAACTCTTGCTTGAAGAACACGTGGGGTCATCTGAGTTACCTGAAGCCGAGTACCGTTGCATAGACCACCTTTAGGATCAATATTCCTGAGTAACATTATTGGAGCACCAATCTTCAGACGCAAAGCATGGTGTGGCAAACCTGGTAGCCTGATACTGTTTAAGAAATCTGGTGTGATAACAGGATTTTTAAGTGAATCGGAATCTTCAGGATCAATACTATCAGCACTGTAAAAAACTTGCTCATCACCTGTTGAAAAAATAAAAAAAAACCTTTTAGCTGTAAGAAAGACTTGAAGGAAATAATTTCACAAAGCTAGTAAGCTATGACTCACCCTCCAACTTGTCTAACATATATTGGTTGATTGTGTGTACATCATCATTGGTTGGCGCCAGAATTGCTCTCTTTTGAAAAAATACTGGATCTTCAGTACCTTTTAACATAGCTGGATCTCCATATATCTCACGAGTAATGGATTCAATTGGATCTTTTGCTTCGGTAATCAGAAGTTCTTCAGGTATATCAATTAGAGCCTCACCATCATTAGGTTCCGCAATTCTACCATCACCAACAGCTAGAAGCCAATCACTGAATTCTTTGATGTCTTTTGCTTCTTCTACACTCAAATCCTTCTTAAGTAGCCTCATGTTCTTAGTAAGCTTTAGAACCTTACAGTGATCCCAAAGATAAGACGCATTAAGAGCTGCCATCACAATCTCAGCCCTGCCTGCACCAGCGATAACAGGTAGAACTTGTCTAAAATCACCTCCAAAGACAACAACCTTTCCACCAAATACTTTGCTATCTTTATTACCAATGATATCACAAAAACTCTTATCTAGAGATTCAAAACACCACTTGCTCATCATAGGTGCCTCATCCCATATAATAAGAGAAGCTTTCTTTATCAGATCAGCAAGATCAGACTTCGGCTTTATCCTGCACACTGAACTGCTATCAGGTGTAAGAGGTATGGCAAACCTTGAATGAGCAGTCCTTCCACCTTCAAACAACAAAGAAGCGATACCACTTGAAGCCACGTTTAGA